TGATACATCCATCCATCCATCCAATGATACATCCATCCATCCATCTATCCATCCAACCATCCATCCTTCAATCCAACCATCCATCCATTCAGTGATCCATCCATCCATCCAATGACCATCCATCCATCCAGCCAGCCAATGACCATCCATCCATCCAGCCAGCCAATGATCCATCTATCCATCCATCCATCCATCCATCCATCCATCCATCCATCCAATGATCCATCCATTTACTCCATCCATTTAATGATCCATCCATCCATCATCATCCATCCATCCATCATCCATCCATCTATCCAATGATCCATCCATCTATTCATCCCTCCATCCAGTGATCCATCCATCCATCTGTCCATTCAATGATCCATCCATCCAGTGACCCATCCAGCCAACCAGTCAATGATCCATCCATCCATCATCCACCAAATGATCCATCCATCCATCCATCCATTCATCCATCCATTCAATGATCCATCCATCATCCATCCATCCATACATCCATCCATCCAATGATCTATCTATCCATCATCCATTCATCCATCCAATGATCCATCCATCCATCCATCCAACCATCCAATGATCCAATGACCATCCATCCAGCCAGCCAATGATCCATCCATCTATCCATCCATCCATCATCATCCATCCATCCATCCATCCATCCATCTATCCAATGATCCATCCATCATCATCATCATCATCATCATCATCCATCCATCCATCCATCCACCCATCCATAAGTCTGACTTTAATCACCAACTACGTCTGACTGTGGTCCCTTTACGTGTTTCCTCTTCTCTTCCAGCAGCCATCTTTTCCATCTGCTGCTTGTCTGATTGACGTTTTAAAATCTTTATTCTCTGACTAGTTCTGACAGTTAAATTCCCTCTCCTGCACTTTTTAGCTCAGATAGGATCAGATAAACTTCTCAGTAATCAGGTTATTTCAGTTTTTAATCTCACTATGCAGGCAGACTTTATTTTATTATTTTTTTATAGAATCAGTTTTTATTGATCTAATTTTAAATGTCTGCTATGGACAAACTCAGCAAACATGTCTGACATTTTAAAGGCTGGAATATGCACAAAGAAACCAAACAGTCAAGATTATCAGTGTTTAGTCGAGGCTGTACAACTCTGAGTCAGAATATCCTGTAAAGACAATGTCACTATTGTACTAAAGGAATATAAATCAGAAATAAAGGAATATAAAACAGAAGTATCAATGTTCTTCCTCACAGAAAGGGAATTTGGATTTATGGCTGTCTGAACCAAGTGAAACCATATTTTTCAAATAAATCTTCCAGCTGCCTATCGTTAATTATAAAATAAAATATTAACATTAACATGTTAATCATCAATGAGCACATGACAGTCCAGGCTTCTTCTTTAAGAAAAGCTGATTCTGTACAAATTGACATGCTTCATTTAGCCAACTTTCTTGTTTTTAGCAGAAAACAAAACTTTAATTAAACTAAAGTAAAGGTGGGTGTGGCAGGAAAACTTATAAAGGAACTAAAGAAAGAGCACAGGGAGGCAAAAGGAGACTCAAGGAGGCACGAAGAGAACCAAAACCCTGACAGGGTCTGGACTTGGTGTGAAAACAAGCACAATGCTCCACTGAGGAGTGAATGAAGGTGAAGTAACGATATAGACTGGGGCTGATGAGGGAAGTGGCTGCAGCTGTGACACGTCAGACAGAGAGCAGGGACAGGTGGTGCAAGGAAAACACAAAAATAAACAAGAACAATAACCACAAAAACAACAGTTATCACTAAGAATGATCAAAAATGAACCAAAAACACAGATTCTGACATTTATTTAGCTTTTAATGAGTTAAATGAGGAAAACTTAAATGAATTAGTTGGTTTTTGTGTTTGACGTGACTGAAGAACAGATGCTGTGGAATTTATATTTGTACTTTATATTAATTGTTTGCGTTTTGTACAGAGCCATATAAACTGAATGTGTTCATAAACTAATTATTTGATGCTTAAAGCTCAACTTACATACTATTTTTTTGTATCTACTTATATTTCTGTGCTGTTCATTCAAGTTCTTGTTGAGTGCACGTTAAAAGTCTCATCTCCTTTACCGGAGAGTACGGTACTGAACGGGGTTTTGAATTTTGGACTGAAGTTAATGTGGAGAGGAGAAAAACGTGTCTCAGTCCTGACTTTGTTGAACAGATGTTCTGATAAAAATACTTAAATGTACAGAAGCAGCTCCTATAAACACAAACTGATTCAAGTAAAATATACTTCCATTCAAACGCCAACAAACAACTCAGAATGTTACGAGACAAAAAGACGACGTTCTCTTTTTATTGAGTTTAATCGTTTGACACAACGCATGCTGATCCAATAATCACTAAACTGGGATTGTTTGCCTCAGTGTCCTTCAATAACCAATACATGTTCCATCATTTCTTTAGTTCTATTTATTTTTTATATTCAGAGTAAATTATACATATTTTTTGTTTAGTTGTTTTAGTTACATCATGGGAAATGGAAAAGAATGACCTTGCTCAGTGTAAACATCATGCTCTTGCTGTTTGTGACAAACATATTGAATCTTGAATGCATATGGCCGCCAGGTGTTGCTGTGGTGAGGCGTTCCAAACATTCCATGAGATTGGCCCTTTTCCTGGAACATCCATCCATCCATCCATCCATCCATCCATCCATCCATCCATCCATCCATCCATCCATCATCTTTACACACTTCTGGGTCAGGGGGCTCACTGGTGCCCATGTCCAGCAGTCACTGTGAGAGACGGGGGACACCCTGGACAGGTCTCCAGTCCATCACAGTCATAAAGACAAACAACCATCCACTCTCTCACTCACACCTAGGGACAATTAAGAGTTACCAATCAGCCTAACATGCATGTTTTTGGTATGTGGGAGGAAACCGGAGTACCCGGAGAAAACCCACGCATGCACGGAGAGAACATGCAAACTCCACCCAGAAAGGCTCCCTGGCCGGGATTTGATCCGGTGACCTTCTCGCTGAGAGGTGGCAGCTCTTACCAACTGCACCACTGTGCCGCCCAAGAACAGTTCAATGAAACTCAAAGAAAACCGTACGGGATTTAAAAAAAACCTCTAAATTCAAAAACTAAAGCTTCATGAGAACCTGCAGCAGAATGTTCCACAACACGTGAAGGAACCTTCATCAGTCATGATAAAAAGTAATGATTTATTTTAATTTTTCTCTATTTAAAGCCAAAAATGGACACATTTATGACTAGAATTTGTGTCTCGTCCACCCACTGAGATTTTGTTCCATTTCCTCAAAGCAGAACCAACAATTTAAAACCTGTTGGGTCAGATGTTGTCTGAAGAACTCTGGGTATAAAGGAAAAAAGATGAGAAAATAACCGATAATCTGTTTCTTAAATGGTTGGAGTCAAGAGAGAAGTTGTGAACTTAATTGTTTTTAAGGGAAAGAATGGTCTTGGAGGCTGGAGGTGGAGGAGAAGTTGTTTCCTGCTGCTTCATCAACGTCACACCGGTGGAGAAGAAAGACATTTATCCAGGTATTCTCCAACAGAAACAATTTGAAACAAGACTTTTATTAACAAATATATATCAGAGTGAAAAAATAACCCCTTTACTCCTCTTTCTTTTTGATTCCAACAAGATGAATTTGACCAAATATGAAATAAGTGTGTTGAGCTCAGGAGGGAACAGACATCTCATCAAACGAAGATGCATTCATGGACGGTTTACTAAACTGAAGGAACTGGAATGAAAACGAGACTCGTGCTTTGGTTGTATTTGCTCTGTTCCTTGTTCGCTTGGAGTTCGTTGGATCCACCTGCATTCCAGATTTATTGACTTTTTGTTTGCTCGTTTTATTTGTTTAACAAAAACTAACAAAAAGTCAATCAATCTGGAGTGGCTTGTTTGTCTCTACGTGTCCCTGTGATGGACTGGAGACCTGTCCAGGATGTCCAAGGCTTCTCGGACAGCGACTGCTGGACATGAGCTCCAGTGACCGAAGTGGGTCAAGATAAAGGACGGGTCGTATCTTTAAACAGGACATATCTTTGTTTAAAAATATATCCAGGGTTTATTCTCAGCATGTCTGCTGCTTTACTGGATCATTTAGGGCCTGGTGTTTATCAGCAGGTGGTGGAAACTGAACCAGATGATCTGCTGTGGGAGCTGAAAGACAAAGAAGAAGCTTAAAACAAATAAAAATACTAAATGTTCATCTGCAGAACCAAACCTCATCAGATGTGAAGTGTCTCTTTGATAACTGTGCTACATTCTGGACTCTGGTGCAGCCGGCCGGCGTTAGGACCCAGCAGAGCGCAGCAGAGAACATCTGTCTCCTCTGGATGAAGTCGCGCACACGCAGCGGCAGGCTGGCACGGACCGGAGCGGATCCGGGATGATGTGGACGCACGAGTCCGGACCATGACAGAAAGTGGACTCCGAGCCGACGAGACCGCGCGCAGCCAACATGAAGACACCTCTGGTAAACATGACGCGTTTCCGCCGCGCGCTCGCCGAGCTGGTTCTGTTTGTGCGCTTTTTCTAAACGGAGCCCGGTTCCTTGGAGAGCGTCAGAACCGCCAGGTCGCAGCTGATGTCGGATCAGGAGATTAGGATCAGAACAATGGGCTTCCAGCTGTGAGCCTCTCAGCTCCTGCAGCTGGAGCAGGGCGCGCGCGCTGGATGCTGCTGCACAATCCTTCAAAGCAAACACTTAAGATGTTTATTTTTCAAAGTGCATGAGTTTTTTTGTTTCGCTGTGGGTTTTAAAAAAACAGGTTTGGGCAATTTTCTTAGAAACAAACCAAAGTTAGTGTCATGAGGTTCTGCACCTGCGATTTTTCAACAAGATAATTCAAGCTTTTATTTTTATGGGGTTTTATTCTTTGATTTGAAGCATCTGAGTGTATCCATGAAGTATGGCCAAGACTTTCCTCTCTTATTAGTCTTAATATTTTTAGCCCATCAATGAGCAGAAATCTCTCCAGTCTTTATTGTTAAAGCAGCTGAGGATATAAAAATGTCGTTAAATCCCCTCAGAGTTTAACGGGACTCACTTGTCCTCGCCTGCTTGTGTCTTCAGCGCCATGGGGTGGCTGTGCTCCTCGTGCTTCTTCTGTGTGCCAGCTTGTTCCTCGTGTACAACGGCAACTTCAGCAGCGCTTCCAGGGACACCAACGACACGCTCATCCAGCAGCGGCCCCCTGAAGCCCCTGCTACTGTGGCCAGGCCTCACCTGCCGGCCCTCCAGGGCTACAGCGGCATCATCGACCACAAGGTAAGCAGATGCTGCCGCCTCCACGTCTCCCACACAACCGGGGACCGAACTCATTGAATGTGCATCGAATGGACATGGACATGTCCTCTGAAAGGTAAAGTCTCCCATTAGGCGCCCAGTTCTGCAGCACATCTTGACTTTCCTCCCCTTCGCACGTCTTTGTTCATCTGTTTGCACAGCTCTTTAGAGACGTGTCGTTTATCACAATTTTCTCCAGCAGCGTTGCGCCGAGCTCAATACCCACCTGTCGTTACTAATAACAGTTTAGGCTACAAATGAAATCCTCGGCTGCATTCTTACACCCTAATTGGTGAACCCAGGAGACCTCTGACGTCACTGAGCTCGGACCGGCTCAGACGATCAGTGTGGGGGGTTAAAGCAGACCCAATCGTGAAGGCAGCACCCGGGATGATGTGCTGCTCTGACTGCTGGAGGATCTTTGCGCCCACTCGTCATTTTACATCTTTCTGTCTCCATTCATCCTCTCCTCATCCTTTTCACGTCTTTTTTTTTTGTTCTCTGTTTCTTTGTTCCATTGTTTGCGCCGCTGTAATCATGTTGTCATTTCATTCACTTTTGCGTCCATCTTTCTTTCTTTCTGCACCCCCACAGATCCATTCCTCCTGTGTGGTTACGTTTCATTTTGTTTGCTACCCGCTCTCATTCTGCATCATGTTCCTCTAAAATTACTGGACCTGCTGACAGTTGCTTCTTCTCTGTAATCCTGGGATCTTTGCGTCCTGACTTTATTGACCCACAAATAAAAGAGATGATCCTAACTGTTGCTGGTTGGCGTATACCAACGCCACTAATGAGCCATTTAACAAAAATCTATTAATCTTATCCAATCATGACCACTGGTTTTGTCTTTACCAGTTAAGACTAAACAAAAATGATTGTTGGTGGCATGACGTTTGATTTCAGTATCTTCCCTGGACTTGGTGTTCCTGAACCCAACAGTGTCCTGAACTTTGTTTATTTAAGGATCCCCATCAGTCTTTTTCCTAACAGATCATTTTTACTGGCACCCACAAGCCGTACAAAATACTCAAATATTACAACTCAAAATCTCACAAAAAAAAAACTAAAGATGCAAGAACGAGCTGTTGATGAATTATTCCAAGGAACGTTAAAAGAAACTGAGAACGGCTGCTTTAATGCACAAATCTGCAACTTCCTTTGTGGCCATTAATAAAATTTACGGTCCAGAGATGCCAAATGGACTTTTTGACGTTAATTAAGTGTCCACAGTTTAGTATGTTTACATGTAAAATAGTAAATGGACGGTACTTATTTAGCGTCGTTCTATCTACTCAAGATACTCCAAGATCTTTATAACACAATCTGTGATTTACCTCCACACAGCACTCTGCTACATCTCTACACAGATCATCTGAATCACTAATCAGAGCTTTATCACATTCATGCACTGATGGGACACACATCGGAGGCAACGAGGGGTTCAGCGCCTTGCCCAGAGACACTTCAGCATGTGACTGCTGGTGGAGTCGAACCCCCAGCTCTCCCATTGGAGGGCGATCGCTCTAATCACTCAGCCGCAGCCGCCCCATGTTGAAACAAAGAAAAACACACACTCTTATTTTACATTTTAAACCTGAATTATTCAGTTTTGAGTTTCCCCCCTATTCGTGTTAAAAATGAATGTTTTCTGCTGTGCTTTAAATTTAAATATTCATGTTGCCATGTTCGTCTGGGTCAAAGCTCCGAAGAGCTGCGGGTCGCCGGCCTCTGCTCTCGTGTGTTTTTGCATCTCTTTGCGATCGTGTTCGCTTCACTTGGTTTGCTGTTTGTCTTGAACATGTGGCAGAACCGGACGCCACAAGTGGCTGCTCGGTTTTTTGCTGCCATCTTGTTCTCAAAGAAACGAGTCCTTGGAGGCGTGTATGAAACCATCAGATCATGCTGTTTGCATGTGAGTAACGGCACCGTATGCAGTGGAGTGTACACATTTCTGAACACCAGAGGAAGACGCTGCATGGAATATGTCAGTATGAAACGAACAGTAGCTTTTGATCAGGAGACATTTTGCAAATCGGAATTGTTGAGCTCTGAAGTTAAAGTTGGTTTGAACTCGTGTTCATTTGCATCGCATGTTGTCATGGAGCAATAAGTCATGAAGTGAAGTTAAATCTGAGCAAAACTGACAGAGTCCAGAGCCTTGGTCTTCATTAATGTTTGTATTGTAGAAGGAGGAGGGAGGTGCTGTTTCTTTAGAAAAATGAATGCAGTTCTTGCCCACGTTGTTTTCTCTGGATGTGAATTATTTACAGCAACAATGACTCGGTTTCAAGAGGGTGATATTGCATCTGAATTTTCCAAGGCGCTTCATGAGAAACCATTGTTTTCCCAACATGAGACTGTTATTATTTCAGCTGCGTATAATCGAAATGCTGTACGGCTTCTGAGCGCAGCTGCTGTCAGTCATTGTCCATGTTCAGATGTACGTTTTCTGCACAGCTTCACTGTTCGGTTGTCGAAGAGCGTTGATGTTCGTGTATATAAGAGCTCAGGAAAATGTAAATAATGGTTTGACAGACGTGCCGGGGCGGTTTAGTGCAGGTGCAGAAAAGACGAGCAGAAAACAGATTTTTAGATTTGATCTTCAACAGGCGGACAAAGAGAGACCAGGAGGTGCTGCTCCGTCACCACCTGGTTATAAATTTAATCGGATTTTGAATTATTTGAATCGATAATTGGATTATGATAACTGGATTTTTGGAGTCAGTGGAAATCTGGATTATCGACAAAATTTGGAAACGTCAGCAGCTGTTTAAGCTGCCTGGAGTGTGTGTGCCAGGCTTGGCAACACTCAGACTCTGTGCGAACTATCTGTGGACCTGTATCAGAGCGGAGCAGGCAGGACTGTGGAACTTCTGGCAGTGTTCACGGACGGTTGGAAGGAATAGATCTTGGAGAAGTTGTAAGCCTGACTTTGGCATAAGTAATCACAACTGGGCTGTTTGGAGTTGGCATGAGATGGACAAGCGAGACTGACATGGAAATTACTGAGCTCAGCCTGACCCAAACCACTGTTAAAATCTGAATCTGGCTCTGGCCTTTGAAGACTATCTCAATTTCTTGTTGGATGTTATGGAAACAAGACGCTCTGCCCAACGTCTGTGGGCGCTATCAGAGTTGTACAGGCTGATAGACACTGTAACATCTTTATCAGGACTATGGAAACTGCTCCTGCAAAAATGTATTATGTCTCTCTATGTTGCTGTGCTGAGGTAGATTTTTTTTTGCTGTTTTACACTGTGTCCTGTGTCAAGGACACGTTTGGAGAGATCTTTTTTTTAATACCTTCTCTCCTCATGTTTTCTTGCCCTTTTCTTTTCTACGTGATAAGAGCAGAGCTTCATAGAAGCTGCAGGCCCGGTACACTTCTACTCTTCGGACGGTTGTACGGAACGTAATTTCACTCTACTTAACTGTGCAACGACAATAAAGCTGATTCTGATCAATTTAATCTCACTCGGTGTTAAATACTGACATCCGAAAAACTGACGCAGGCTAATGTGTTTTATAAAACCACAAGGACATTAAAACTAAACTCAATACAAATCATTTTAGATGATCGTTAAACTCTGAAACTGTTGACAAAAAGTTATTCGCAACATTTGGTGCATCTTTACAGAAAAAAACAACCTTTTTTTTGTTTTATAACTCCATCTGTAGAGATTTACAGCAGATGAATAGCATGTTTTTCTATTTACTGTTCTTCAAATATGCAGCAAATTCATCCTAAAACTTGGAGGTTTTTAACTCTTCAAAGAGTATGAGGGTTAAAACTGCTGCATTTGTGGGGTTAAAGAAGAGTTTTCTCTAGTTTTTGTGACATTCAGCAAGAAAAAACATCTCAACACTTTGTGCAGAACAAAAATAGTCTCGTTACACTTCTGCTTCACGTTGGAGCAGCTCTTCCCTGCTCCAAAGCATTTTGGGTCATTGCCTGTTAAATATTGTCTGCTGTGTTTGTTTTGGACCTGACTTGATTAAAAACATTAACGAGTCGTGCAGATCTGAGGGTGTCGTGCGTTTGCCTCTGAAAGCCAATCATACTTTGAATGATGCATAAATAAAATGTGCAGCGCTGTCATATTTGAGGAGCCCTGTTGGAGGACGCAGCACATTTGAAAGGCCGATATTCAACGACCGTGTTTGGATTTGATGAGGATTTGTCTGTAATGTGTCGCTGAACGCTGCTGTGGATGAGAATTGATTTTCCTCGACTGAACCTGAGCAGCCGAGCATCATAAGAAACCTTTTTTTTTTTCCCACCAGCTGTAAGCTTATTGACAGTTTGGCGACAGAGGACATCATTGGGGTCACAGCTCCACTGAAGATCATTTACGCTGCTTCAGACGTGCGGTAATGTCAGGCTGGAATCGATGATTTGAGGATTTGGATGAGTTTTGCTGCCTCACAATGTGTCGGTGCGCTGCAGCTCTGAGGCGTTTCAGTGCAGTTTGTTCACGTTGCCGTCCTCCTCTCTCGTTTGATCTCCTAAAAGATCAGTGTTTGGAAAAATCCACCGACTGGACCTTTTGTTCGTTGCTTGCTGACCTGTTCGCTGTATTGATCTGTTTGAGCTGTCGGATGACTGGCACACAGGGCGCAGTGCCAGTCCGCCTTTGACCGCTTCACATTATCTTCCACGGAGGATTCAATGCGTTGACACCGACCTCTGCAGACTTTTACGTTGCATTTGTCAAACTTTTCCTCAAACGTAGCTGCTGTATTTATTTTCGTCTAAAATTCACAACAATTTTCATACTCAGTATGTTTTTTTTTTTTACTAGAAGATGTTTGATTTAGGTCAGAATGAAGGGTAATTTATTTCTAGTTATGCAGCAGCACTGGTTGGGCTGAACTGTGAATGAGAACAAGATAAGGAGGAAAACTTGGGCTGGAGATGAAAAGAGGAAGAGACTCTTTTATAGAGAAAGGGCAAAGGGAATGAGAAAGGAGGATGAAAA